AAAACAAAATACTCGGGGATTAGATCGACCAAGGCTGGCAGTTTTATTCTATTTTAAATTTTACCACGACGTTTCGGCCAGTAATACTGGTCCTTTTCAAGTGGATCCTATAGCTTGTGACAACGAAGCATCTACAAATCAATTACTTAGTCAAAATATAAAACGGTAATAACTTGTAAAACTATAAATTATAAAATATAAAGCGGTGATAAATTACAAAAAGAACTACGAGTAAATTTCTCAGTCATAACATAAAATAATAAATTATAAAAGAAGAACTTACGATAAATTATAAATAGAACTACGAGTAAATTTCTCAGTCATAACATAAAATAATAAATTATAAAAGAAGAACTTACAGGAAAATATAAAAGGCTAATCGTCATCGCACATAGAAATATACGTCTTCGCACGTGTCATGTCACCAAGAGACTAAATAGTTGGAACAGAACAAAGGGACATTGCTAAGATCCTCCCGTCATGACATATAGAAGGGGACCGGAGAAACAAATAAATAAAATAAATGTGAAGTTGAAACTAGGTGAGTCGAACGATTTTATCATATATCGTGTTCAGATTTTCAGTGTCTTTCTGGAGGTTAATAGTGTTATTAAATTTCTTGATAAAAAACATCTCTGCGATTTCTCTGCGTCTGTAATGTCGTTCTTTGTGTAAAATTAAAGGATTTGACCAGTCAAACTCATGTCCGAATGTTGTCCGATGTTTGCTTACGACAGAGTGATTTGATGTCGGTTTTTTGATGTCGTTGCAATGCTCCTTTATTCTCGTTGCAATATGTCTCTTAGTTTGGCCAATATAGGTCGCGTCGCAGTTAATACAATCAATTTTATAGACAAGTTCGGTCTGTTTCGTGTTAATTATTTTATCCTTCCCCTTTCTTATAATTACGTCAAGTTTTTTAGGGACAGTAAACACAATATTCATATTAAATTTGGATAAAATGCGTCCTATTTCTTCACTAATACCATTGATATATGGTATAGTGAGATAATTTTTACGTTCAAGGCTCTCAGTTGGAGGGTCGTTAGTGTTAGTATTGTGTCGATGACGTAATAGTTTTAATCTTTTTGTAATGTGTTCATTAATAAAACGGGGGGGATAAGAATTATTTAGGAGAATGTCTTGAATTAACTTAATGTTACTGTTATGGAAACGTGCGTCAGAAAGTAAAATGGCTTGGTCTACTAAAGTTGTGATCGTATTAATTTTGTATTTTGTCGGGTGGCTCGAAAAGTAATTAATGTATCTTCCCGAGAATGTCGGTTTTCTGTACCAATTCGTTATCATTTTGTTGTTTTCCCTGAGGACAGACACATTAAGAAAATTGAGTGTTTTATTATTCTCAATCTCGGAGGTGAATTGTAGACGAGGATGGTAGCTGTTAAAAGTATTCAACACTTCTTGGAGTCTGTCCTCAGGGAGGACTAGGAATATGTCATCAACGTATCTATAATATACTTGTATCTCGAAATCCAACGAATTAATACAGTGTGTCTCTAGGTCATCCATAATTATATCCGCTAGTATAGGGGATAGGGGAGACCCCATGGGACTACCGAAGATCTGTTCATATATCTGGTCATTAAAAGAAAAGCTAGTTGAACTGAGAATTAGATCTATTGCATGTGAAAATTGAGGTAAGCTAAGTTTCGTGGCTTTAGAAATTTCATGCCATCTGTTTTCAATGCCTTTAAGTACTAGTTCTTTAGGAACA